CAATATACTAAATGCCTTAAGCAATCAGTCCAGATTTATGAGCTCAGTTAATTATATTTCCAGAATCATTTTTACTTGCCTTAATAAACTAAATAAATTCAATTTCCTTTTTGAGTAATTTAACAGGGCAAATTTACAATTGTAACAAGCCTTTCATAAGTCCCTGAAAACCCTGGAAATCTTTGCAATTAAACTTACTCATGTGGTAAGTCAAATTCCGTTAAGTGTTCCAATTTCATTTAAAAAATAGTCAAATCCTCTTAAACTTTCAGTCAGTTTAAAATCAATTATGCATTTAAAGTCAGAAGTAAAATTAAATGTGTTACATACTCTTAAAATTATAGGTATTTTAAATACCGAACACATTGGTTATCCTGAATGTTACAGAAGTATGAATGTGATCTCTACACAGAGTCCTGTCTTTTCTCAGGGATTAGAAAGCCACTTACTAAGAGAAGCAGCCTTGGTTTTTCACATCTTACAGGGTTTTTAGGTCAAAAATTCAAGAGCACAGTACTGTTACTATTGATAAGAAATCTGAGCTAGAAACTTTAGACCCGAGGTTTGTGTCTCTACAAGATATTTTTACGTAACCACAACTAGGCATGATGCATTTTAAAATACATGCATCTCAGTAGACATTCCCTCTTTCAATTCCTGTGTGCCGTATCCCCTGTGTGGTATTAGTTTTGTTTATGAATAAAAATGGAGGTCATTATGTGTCAGATGACTCAATGGCACCCAACAACAGTAGGCATAAAAAGGTAGAGAAATCATAACCTTAACTATTTTTAAACTCTTCTGACTTTTTCCGTATAATTTAAACAGATGTAATTCTGAAATATGTCCCCAGCACTCCCTAAATTGCCTTCATCCATTCTCTTAGCCTTGTTCTGCATGATTTAAAGGTCACCCCATTGACTCCTGAATTTATTACATCAGGCTCATTGGTTACTAACTTGAGGTCAATCTAATGTTATTTAACCATGAATGGATTTTTAATTTATATTTTAATAAAATTAACGTATTTGTCATTGTTGTTATTAAGTGTCATCAAGTCAGTTCTTACTCAGAAGAGTCAGTGGTGGGTTTGAACTGCTGATTTTGTAGTTAGCCAGCTAGTGTCTGTTCTACAGCACCACAGTAGGACTTTACTAACATATTTACCCATGTAATAAATGAAGAGTTCTGTACCTGTTCACCAAAATCCTTCCAAAGGAGTCTCTGGAGAAAGGACAGGCAATCTGTTGTTTTTAGATGCTATCGAGTTGGTTCCAACTCATAGTAATCCTAATGAATCACTGCCTGGTCCTATGCCATCCTCACAATTGTCTTTGAGCCCATTGTTGCTGCCACTGTGTCAATCCATCTCACAGGGGGCTGTCCTTTTTTTGCTGACCCTCGACTTTAACAAACATGATGCCCTTCTCAAGGGACTGGTCCCTCTTGACAATATGTACAAAGAATAAGAGATGAAGCCTGACCACCCTCATTTCTAAAGAGTATTCTGGCTCTACTTGTAAGGCAGATTTGTTTGTTCTTCTGACAATGTGTGGTACATTCAATATTATTCTCAAACAGCATAATTCCAATGCTTCAATTATCCTCTGGTCTTCCTTATCCATTGTCCAACATTCACGTACATATGAGGCAATTGAAAATACCATGGCTTGGATCAGACACTTCTTAGTCCTCAAGTGGCCTCTTTACTTTTTGAGTAACACTTTTAAGAGGTCTTCTGCAGCAGATTTCCCCAATACACTGCTTTGTTTCATTTCTTGACTGCTATTTCCATGAGCCTTGATTGTATTGTTGTTGTATACCATCAAGTCTCTTCTATCTCATAGCAACCCTGTATACAGAGTTTCCAAATCTTTACAGGAGCAGAGCCTAATCATTCTCCCATTGATTGTAGTCAAGCAAAATGAAGTCTGACAACTTCAATCTTTTTCTCCATTTATCATGACATTTATTAGTCCAGTTGTGAGGATTTTCATTTTCTTTACACTGAAGTGCAGTCCATACTGAAGGCTTTAGGTTTTGATCTTCATCAGTAAGTATGATAAATTCTATTCACTTCTAGTAAGGTTGTGCCATCTGTGTATCATAATTTCTTAATAAGTCTTCCTCCAATCCTGACATCACATTCTTATTCATATAATCCAGCTTCTAGGACCATTTGCTCAGCATACAGATTGAGTAAGTATGGTGATACAACTCTGAGGAACATTTTTACTGATTTCTAGATCATTCAGTATCCCTTGTTCCATTTAAACGACTGCCTCTTGATCTATGTACAGGTTCCTCGTGAGCACAATTAAGTGTCTAGAATACCCATTCTTCACAATATTATCCATAGTTTGCTATCATCCACACAGTCCAATGCATTTGCATAGTTAATAAAGCACAAGTAAGCATCTTTCTGCTAGTCTCTGCTTTCAGCTAAGCACCATCTGACATCAGCAATGATAGCCTTTGTTCTATGTCCTCTTCTGAATCCAACTTGAATTTCCGGCAGCTCCCTGTTGATGTACTGCTGTAATTGTTCTTTAATTATCTTTGATAAAATTTTCCTTGCATGTGGTGTTAACGTATTGTTTGATGATTTCCTCATTTTTTGGGCCACTTTTTTTGGAATGGACACAAAATAAATCTCTTCCAATTGGTTTTCCAAGTTTCTTGGCATAGACAAGTGAGAAATTCCAGTGCTGCATCGAAGTATTTCAGTTTGTATTCCATCAATTCCTGGAAACTTCTTTCTTACCAATGCCTTCTGTGTAGCTAGGACTTCTTACTTCAATACCATTGGTTCCTGATCATATGTTATCTCTGGAAATCATCGAACATCAACTAATTCTGTTTGGTACAATGATCCTGTGTAGTCCTTCCATCTTCTCTAGATGTTCCCAGTGCCATTCAATATTTTGTCCATAGAATCCTTCATTATAGCAATCTGAGGCTTGAATTTTTTTTCTTCAGTTCTTTTAGCTTGAGATATACTGAGCATACTCTTCCCTTTTGGTTTTCTAAATCTAGGCCTTTGTACTTTTCATTATAATACTTGATCCTGTCTTCTCGAGCTGTCCTTTGAAACAATTCTTTCAGCTTTTTTACTTCTTAATTTCTTCGATTTGCTTTAGTTTCTGTATATTGAACAGCAAATCTGAGTCTCTTCTAATTTTCATTTTAGTCTTTTCTAGTTTTCCTGTCTTTGTTATAACCTTTACTTTCTTCCTGTATGATCATCTTGATGTTATCCCACAATGCTTCTGGTCTTTGGTCATTAGTATCTAATGTATCTAATCTGTGTTTGAGATGGTCTCTAAATTTGTATGGGACATAGTCAAGGTCATATTTTTCCTCTCATAGACTTATGATTTTTTCTTTCTTCAGTTTCAGCCTGAACTCACATATGAGAAATTGATGGTCTATCCCACAGTCTTCCCCAGCCTTGTTTAGGCTGATGTTATTGACCTTCTCCATTGTCTCTTCACAAAATTGTAGTCAATTTGATTCCTATGTATTTTCTTAGATGAGATCCAAGTGTACAGTCAACTGTTTATGTTGTTTAAAAAAAGTATTCACAAAGAAGGAGGCATTGACCTTGCAAAATTCTGTCATGTGATCTCTAGTATTGTATCTATCACCAAGGCCATATTTCCCAATTACCAATCCATTCTCTTTGTTTCCAACAAATTTCAACTCTAATTAAAGTATTTTAATAGCTGACTGTTCTAATTTTGTTGCAATTTTCCACTCATGGAGGTTACCAGCACTACAAAATGATGAGATGGGTACAAATGTAACTGCAACAGTTCTACCCTCAAGTCATGATTAAGTTTCATTTAGCTACCATCTGACCCATCTATTGATAATAAATACATGATTATATATACATTCTATCTTCCACTGTCCATAAAAATATATTACTGGTAATAATAGATTAACTGCTTTTATATATTGTTTTCAGCTGAAAAATTAAATATTTTTTTAACTTCTCTATGGTTCTATCACTTTTTTCTATCTTGTGCAACATTGTTGACTGACTAGGTGTTGTCAGTCTGAAACTGATCAAACATGCAGTCAAGATCAAACATGCAGTGGCAGCATCAATGGGCTCAAGTGTGGCAACAATTGTGAGGATGGCCCAGAATTGGACAGCGTTTTGTTCTGTTGTGCATAGTATTGCTATGAATTGGTACCAATTTGATGAAACCTAACAACAACAGCAGGAGCAACTGTTGGATTTGAACTCTTATCCTAGTTGTTCACAGTTCAGGACTGATCCTACAACACTACACCAGGAACAAGCTTAGGAGAGTCAAATAAGTACAATGTGTTTTAATTTTGTGAAATATAACATTGTTGTTGCTGTTGTTAGGTGCCATCGAGTCAGCTCCTAGTGACCTTATACACAGCACAACAAAACACTGTCCAGTCCTGGGCCAACCTCACTATTGTTGCCATGCTTCAGCCCATTGATGCTGCCACTTGGCCAATCCATCTCGCTGGGGGTCTTCCTCTTTTTCTCTAACCCTCCACCAAAAACGGAAACAAATGGGAAATTCCTAAATGTGTGTGTGTGTGTGTGTGTGTGTGTGTGTGTTGCGGGGCGGGGGCAGCAGAGAGAACTAGGTGTGTTAGGGCTTATCTGCCAAAGCTCATTAAAATATTTGCTGAAGATTATTATTTCTTAACCATATAACTTTCATGGATATTTAAAAGAGAGTGACCAATCAAAAGTATACTAAATGTGTGACAGAAAATTGAACTGAAATATTTAAAAATAAACTTGATACTGGCTTGAAACAAATGAAGCTATTAAATAACATAATTGACACATAATTAAACATTATTGTTTTTCTGAGTTAAAAAACACCAAATTTTTTTTGAATCAATTCTGTAATAAGTTCTTTAAAATGAAAAGAGTGAGATATAATTTTTTTTTGTCTGGAAAAAATTGATATAACATTTCAAATCATTTTTAACTGCTTTTACAGGTGGTACCATAAAAATATTACCAGAAATCAAGCAGAACGTCTATTGAGACAACAGGTAATTCAATTCACTGATGACTAAATCTATGAATATATTCAACATTTCTGAGAGAGTTACATTCACAAGATTTTTAACCAAACAAAACTGTTTGTCACCTCTCATTCTTTTTCGTTCTAAAATATGGTTACAACTTCGTATCAACTGCATATTTTCCAAAAAACTGTAAATCAGATATATTTATATCAGATTATATTTTTCCTTGACTTCTTCTCATAATTTCTGGAAGCGCCACTGAAACTTGTCCACGATGGATGAGCCTGCTGGTATTTAAAATACCGTTGGCTTCACCTCCAGCATCACTGCAGCATACAAGTCACCACAAGACTAGCAGTGGTCATCAAAATCTCAGAAGTTTGCTACTCCTAAAATTATTTTGACTCTAAACCATTGAAGCTCCTCATTCCTTCCAAAGTGTACTTTTCCAGTTGTTGTTAGAGCTGCCAGGGCAGTCTGACTCATAACAACCCTGTACGAGGTTTCAAAGGCTGTAAATATTTTGGGAGTAGATAGGCTCATCTATATCTCGAGGAGCAACTGGTTGGCTCGAACAGCCGACCTAGTGGTTTACAGTCCAGTGCTTATCTTACAGTTACTTTTCCAGTAGAGTCTACATCATCTTTGCAAGAAAGTTGGGCTAAAATATACACTCTAGCCTCATACTCTTATCTTAAGCTCATTAAACACACAAACATATCAAAATACAAGGTGCTATACTTTCTTTGTTCTTTAGGAACAAAGGGAAGAATTGTTGTTGTTGTTGTTGTTAAGTGCCGTCGAGTCGGTTCCGACCCATAGCGACCCTGTACAGGGTTTCCGAGGGTGTAAATCTTTACGGGAGTAGAAAGCCTCATCTTTCTCCCGCAGAGCGGCTGGTAGTTTCGAACCGCTGACCTTAAGGTTCGCAGCCCGATTCGTAACCACTACGCTACCAGAGGGAAGAATAGAGGAGACAAAATATCAAACTCAAATCAAAACTGCCCATTGAGGTCAAAACAAAACTGCATATAGTTTAAGTTTCCAACTGACGGTAAGTATTAACTGTGGGTAAATGTAAAGTCAAAACTGGAAATTAGGCAAAAGGTATCTGTCAGATATTGAGGAAATCTGAAAATGTGAATGAGAAAAATTAGTTCTGTAACTAAGAACCCACTGCCATTAATGGCTCAGGACACAGGAGAATGGGCAGAGAGCAGGTGGGCCATCTCTAGTCTCAGGAGTGGGTGGACAAGGAGACTGGAAGACAGGCTTACTTCACTTGCTCAAAGGAAACTGCGTGTGGCTTTCCTGGCATGACAACAGCAGGTGACTATTTCTGAAGTGCTAACCATCAGTCTAGCATGGAGAGATAAATAATGTGACCGGTAGGATGAACCACAGAAGGAAAGTCTGAGAGTAGGCCCACAGTAAGCAAGCTGGCTATAGGTCAGATTGCCAAAAGCACTGGGCTGAGTCAGGTAAACTGTGTTTGAAAGGATGCCTGAATAAAGCTAGGGCAGGATCTCGAACTGTGATGAGAAGTAGGGACTTATGTAACAAATCCCCAAATGCCCACAACCCAGATAGAACAAGCATTAAAATTTGGCCATAACATTTTTTAAAGAACTCAAACATTACAGACAGAGTTAAAACCCATCCCCTCATCTTGTTAGGTACCTTCCTTTCCCCAGAGGGAATCACAATTAGAAGGATGTGTTTCCTTTTTGTCCGTGTATTAATACTTTGATTATATATGTATGTCCACAAACAATCTATAGGGTTGTTTTATGTGTTTTGCTATTCTACATAAAGGGGATCATATTATACATTGATTTTTTTTTTAAACTATATGATCTGTTTTTAAAATACGATGACATACAGATTAGATACATTCTTTTTCATTAATTTTTTATTGTGAATTGAGTCAAGGTTTACAGACAAGATCACTAGCTTTACAATCAACAAATCATACACTTTTTTTCTTCTCTGGATTTACAATCTTCTCCATGCAACAACAGTTATCCTGCTTCCTCCATGTATTCCTATTTGCATTCCAAACACCTTCCTTCTCCTTCTCAACTCTTTCCTTAGAAAAATGGCACCTTTTTGATTTTGAATGATTGACCATTCCATGGTGAACAGACCTTACTAATGTTACTTGTCTCCCTGAGCCCACTATAAACCCACTATAAAATTGGCCCACAAGGGGTGAATTCCTTTCCATACCTGAAGGGTGTTGGAGGGCCAGAGTCTCAGATTCCTCCAGTCTCTTTCTGACTCGTAAACACAGTTTTTTTATTAAATGATTTTGAGTTTTGTTCCACATTTTCTCCCATTCTATCTGGGACCCTCTAATGTGATCCCTTTCAGGGAAGTTGGTAGTGGTCGCTAGGCTCTGTCTGGTTCTTCTGGTCTCAGAGTCATAGAGACAGATGTTCAAATGTTCCAAGAGTCCATTTTTTGGTTCCAAGCTTCTTCAATTCTTATTACTCTTCTTTCTTCCGCATATGGAGAGACCAGTGGCTACACCTTAGATGTCCATTCATGAGCTTTCAAGATCCTCCCTTACCCATTCTGCCTATGTCTCAATCCGTATATGCACATGGCACTATTGTCCCAAGGTTGTGTATAGATCACTGTTTACCTCTATCC